GCCTGCCCTTAACCAAAGTGACTCACGGGCATGTGCTAGGCTCAGGGCCCAGAGGCGGAGGTAGGAGGCGGTATTGGAGATGCAGCCCAGGCAGAACTCAATGGTGTGGATGGCCTGATGCATGAAGACCTCAGAGAAGACAAACTACAGCAGCAGGTGGAAGTGAGGGGCCAGCAAGACCCCCAGCCACCCCGCTCCAGGAAGGCCTACACTCACCTCAGCATGCTCCTCATCTTTGGAGGACCCCACCTCCTCAACAGAGCCCCAGCCGTTCACGCTGCCACCATCCTGTGAGTCCAGGAGCTCAGCCCTTTCCTCGTCCTGGGGAAGGTAGCAGCATCAGCAGCCCCCAGCACCAGGAGGGTGCCCACCCGGTGCCAAGCACCTCCCAAAGTCTCTTCAGGGGCTCAGGATCCCACCTCCCTAACAGTGCCTTCTGCTCCCTGGGTGCCTACCTGCTGTGGGCCAGGATGTGGTCTGGGCAGGTGGTGGCGGCGGTGCTGCCAATGTAGGTACAAAGGTGTGCCTAGTAACAAGATGGGCACCATGGCCAAGGCCAGGACCACCAGTATGTATTGGACCACTTCCTGCAGGTGAGGAGGGCAAACCAGAGTGACCCCCATAACCATGGATGAAGCTGCCCGTGTATACAGAGGCCAAAGAGCACACCTCCCCCAGTGTCCCCCAGGGATGCTGAGTCACACCCCCACCTCTCAAACCCAGTGTTCCTAAGGAATCTGTCATGCAGAGAGGAGACCTCTCAATTCCTGTCAATTCCACCCAGCTCCACACCATCTCCTCTTTAGCTCCCTGTCTGCATGAAAGCAGCTTGTTCCTCAGAAAAGGAAACTAACATGCCAAGTAGTCCACTGATCACGGGCCCCAGGAGCTGGGGTGTTAAGCTGGCTCCCTGGCCCCAGCCCACCTGCCCCTGGTAGAGCATCCGGTTGGTGGGACTTTTGGAGAAGAGGAACATGTTGATGAAGTGGATGAGGATGCTGGGGGCCGAGGCAGCATTAGCCGCTGTGACATGCAGCCACTTGTAGGTGATCATGAAGACAAGGTAACCAAAGAGGCCCAGCAGGAAGATCAGCTGGGGTAGAAACTCTAACAGGAGCCGGTAGTGCTGGCGGAAGTGCCTGGGCCGGGAGGATGACAATTAGGCCACCTGGGTTCACCCAGCATAATCAGGCTGCCCTCATCCACCCACTGAAGCCCTGGCCCCTCACACGTGGTTGAAGACCCCCAGGACCACGCCAAAGGCCATATGGGTGACCCCCAGCACCACAGACATCTTCATCTTGAAGGAGTTGAGGAAGCTCAGATGGTTGACAGCCAGGCTCCAGATCTGGAAGAGGAGGGCAGGAATCACTCAGGTCACCCTGTTTGTGCCTTAGACGCCTTAGCACAATCGGGAACCACCCATTGTGGTGAGGGGCAGTTGACCAAGCCCCAGCTTTGCTGCTTTCCTGCAGAAAAGCCTTGGGCCTCAGTCTCCTAATCTGCAATGCATGTAACACTGTTCACCCTCTGGGCTTGCTGTAGGGATGAATAGAAATGAACCCACACAGGGCCTAGGATGGACCTGGCATAAAGCATGCTGCTACATTGAGTGATGGCTCCTGCCCATAGTGCGGACCCAGAAAGTCAGGGTCAGTCACTCTGCCTGTAGGGCTGGCAAGCACAGGTGCTCAACAGAAGGTAGGGGATGGGGGATGAGGAAGGTGGTGTCATGGGTTAGGCAACCACAGCAAGCGCCCCGGACTCACGGGATCGATGCCGAAGGGGTAGGGTCCCAGGAAGACGCCGGTGACATTGGGGTCCAAAGTGAGCATCGGGTGCTGGGCCAGGAACGCGTCACTGCAACAAGAATGGGAAGCGAGGGTGATAGGACTGGGCGAAGCTGGGAGATCTTAAGTGGGGAGAGCAGGTGGGCTATGGAAGGAGAGGCTCCGGGACTACCGGGAGGAACCATGGGATAGGGTGGAGCCGAGGGACAGCGGGAGGGAGTCGGTCCATAGGGTTGGGCCTCAGTACACAGAATCAGTGTAGGGAAGGCCATGGCGTGGGGCGGAGTTATAGGGTAGGGTCGCAGCCGAGGGGCGTGGCTATGGTTTGGGGGCGGAGTCACGGGATGTAAGGCGGGGCCGTGGAACACGGGGCGGGGCCCCGTTGGAGGGCAACGTGCGTAGGCTACCAAGAGGGGCCGCTAGGTGGGGCCTTGGCCTCACCTCCAGCCGGACTGGTTGGCCATGGTGGCCACACTCCAGCCTGAGGGGAAGATGGTGGTGGCGCGACTGAAGCATTCATTGTAGATGAAGCCAGTGTAGACCGAGAACAGGCCCATGAGCAGAAGCAAGTAGCGCCCCCCGAAGAAGGTCCGCCAGATCTGGGGGAATGACTCGTGAGGGACAGTCCATCCCTGACCCCTTCCCTCTGTCATCCCGTAGGATCCCATCCCGACGCTCACCTCATTCTGTGAGGCCTTGACAGAAGGCCTGTCCTCAGAGAGTACCATGGCCAGGGCGAAGAGGAACATGAGCAGCCCGTGGCCCACGTCGCCAAACATCACAGCGAAGAGGAAGGGGAAGGTGATGATGGTGTAGGGTGCTGGGGGGCAAAGCCAGCGGTCAGCTGTGCCCCCTTCCTGAGATGCCACAGTGACCCAAACCCAGGCCTTTGGGGCCCCAGGAAAGGCAAAGGTGGTCATCGCAAAGAGAATTTAATAACCCACCACTTATTGGTGGTGCTGTGGGCGAGGCATCGGGCGGCTAATCAAAAGATCAATGGTTCAAACCCATTAGCTGTTCTCAGGAGAAAGATGAGGCGGCTGTCTGCTCTTGTAAAGATTTATAGTCTCAGAAACTCTATACAGGGTCACCAAAAGTCAAAATGGACTTGATGGCAGTAGGCTTGTCAGTTTGATGTCTTTCAGGAGCCCTGGTGGCAAACTGGTTAAGCGCACGGCTGCTAACCAAGGGCGGTGGTTTGAACCCACCAGCCACGCCATGATAGAAAGATGTGGCAGGTTCCTTCTGTAAAGATTATGCCTTGGAAACCCTATGAGGCAGTTCTCCTCTGTCATGTAGCATCCCTATGAACTAGAAATGGGCTCAACAGCAAATGTATGTTATTGTTGTTGTTATGTGCCATCGAGTCGGTTCCGACCCATAGTGACTCTGCATAGGATTTCCAAGGAGTGGCTGGTGAGCTTGAACTGCTGACCTTGTGGTTCAAACTGACCTTGCAGTCCAGCGCATTAACCTGCAGAACCACGCCAGGACTCCAGAGGTATGTTGAGTGTTTTAAAATGGAGCTGCAGCCATAGTTCTCGGTTTATTGCACTTCACTTTATTATGCTTTGTAGGTACTGCGATTTTTAAAAATTCAAGGCTCAGGGAAACCCTCTGTGGAGCAAGTCTATGGGAGCGCCCTTTGTATCTGCCTCAGAGCCAGATAATTCCCCCAGTCTGTCAAACTTTTTCATAATGCTATGGCACAGACTAGAGTGTAAACGTAACTTTGATACGCTCTGAAAACCAAACCATTGTTGTGACTCACTGGATTGTGATCCTTACTCTACTGTGGTGGTTTGAATCTACACTATCTTGGAAGTATACCTATAAAAAAAAGTATATACAACAGTCTAAAGAATAGTACAAGGGGACTTCAAATAGCTCACAGAAAAATAGAATTAATAGACGATTCCATTTTTCCATGAACTTTTTGAAGCCCCCTGGTATATAATCCATCATGTTGTTGTTAAGCTTCTGTGGAGCCGGCCCCTGGCTCAGGGTGGTCCCTGTTCACAGCTAAATACAATGCTGCCCAGATCTGCACCTGTGATCAAATCTCTGTAAATCATATGGTTCTCACTGGCTGAGTTTTTGAAGCAGACAGCCAGGTCTTTCTTCCTAGTCTGTCTTAGGAAGTTCTACTGAAATCTGTTCCGCATCATAACCATATGCAAGCCTAGAATGACATGGGGTAGTAGCTGCACATGAGGCTCACTGACCAAGAATATGGGGGAATTGGCTGGGAAGAACACTGGGCTTCATAACCCAACAACCCCTTCTCCCCCCAAAACATGGTGGGGAGTGTGCCTCTGGCTCCGAGGGAGGGTCCAGTCCCAGGGTGCTCACCTGGGTTGACCTCCAGGTAGCGGCCCACGCCATAGGCGTCCACGATGCCCTGGAAGCTGGCTGTGAAGCGGTTGGTTCGGATGAGTGTTGGGGGCATGTCCCGGCAGGGGATGCAGTGAACCACAGCGTTTACGCCCACCTCACTCTGGAGGGCCAATGGGGGACCGAGGGGAGGCAGGATGGACAGAGACATAGAAGTTGGAGTCAGTCTCTAAGCTCAACTGGCAGTGAGGAGTGCTGAGGGCTCACTGGGCAGACACTAGGGATGGGGATCAGGGAGGCAGGCAGTCGGGGCCTTAGGCTTCCCATCTGTGAAATGGGATGATCCACCCAAAGTCAGGGAGCTTGGGGGCAGGTCCAAAAGATCTGGAAATTGTTGGGAGTAGTCCTGATGTGGCGCTGTACGATAAGCACTGGACTGCAAGATTGTTTGAATCACAAGGTCAGCGGTTCAAACTCATCAGCCGCTCCTCGGAAACCCTTCACAGGGTTGCTGTGAGTTGGAACTGACTGGATGGCACTTAACAACGAAACTGTGCTGCACATCATCCAGGTAGCCAGGAGAGGGCACCCCATCCTCACAGGTGAGCACCCATGACTTTCAGCATGGTGACCCTTGTTGTTGTTGTTAAGTGCTGTCGAGTCGGTTCCGACCCATAGCGACCCTGTACAGGGTTTCCGAGGGTGTAAGTCCTTACGGGAGTAAGCCTCATCTTTCTCCCGTGGAGCGGCTGGTAGTTTCGAACCGCTGACCTTAAGGTTCACAGCCCGATTCGTAACCACTATGCTACCAGAGCTCCTTATGGTGACCCTTAGGGGCAGGATTACCCTAATTGTTTCACAGGTAGGGAGTGGGTCAGGGTCAGGTGGTCAGAGCCTGGGGAAGGCTGGATTTAAACCCAGTTTCTGACTTTTTCAACAATTACATGCAGCTCCCAGGGTGCAACTAACTGCATCCCTGGGGCTCTTGAAAAGTCCGAGGTGGTAAAACTTGACCAACACTGACTCCCTGGAGGAAGAAGGATGGGGGGAGGCATGGGGGTCCCCCTCCCCTCATGGGCAAAGGCGTAGGGGAGGAGGCCATGCAGGTCTGCTTTGGTGGTGATAGACACCTGTCCAATGAGGCTGGGGCAGCGTCCCTGTCTGTGCTCACCGAGCTGTCCTGCAGCACTCGCTGCAGGGTGGCCAGGTCCCGTGTTGGGCACCAGGCCTCTGCGATGAGACACTTGTGGGTGGCACTCATGCTGCACTGGTTGAGGACCAGGTACACGGCTTTCATCTTGCGGATCTGAATTTGCCAGGGCGGCAGCAGCCGCTGTACCCGGCTCAACACCTGGTTCAGGAACTGTTCCGTCTCCCCCAGGACCTGGGGGCCAGAGTGGGTGGTCAGGAGGAAGACCTGGGATGGGGAATGGCAGGGGGTCCCGCCTGATGGGGTGGGGAGGAGACCCACCTCCTGAATCTCCTGTTTCTGTTGCTGCAGCTGCTGCCAGACCCCATGGCGGGCTGTCTCCTGCTCCTCAAATGGGAAGACGTGGCAATGGAAACTGGAGGGGATGTGGGCTGCTGTAAGTGGTGCTGGGGTTCTTGGTGGTGTGGGCAGCTTGGACTTGGGGCTATGTGGAGGATGTTGGAAGACTGGGAGGGAGAGCCCCCACCCACAAGGCAGTGTCCGGACAGGCCAGCTCCGCTAGGGCCAGGTAGAGGCCAGGCCTCCGAGGGGCAGTGTGAGGCTCACCAGTCGGTGATCTTGCGGATCTTCTGCCCGATCTGCTGGCCACAGTAGGAGATCAGAAAGGTCATCCAAGTGACAGGCTCGCCCTGCCGGAGCCAGAATCAGGTTATCCTGGAGCCCTGGGCACCTCACTGGGGTCCCCACCTGTTCACCCCAGCCAGACCACCCACCACTTACCGTCACGGGGTCCTCCAATGGCTGCTCCATCTCCTGGAAGCTGGCAATGAGGAAGCCTCGGCAGGCCCTCCAGAGCAGGCGCTCCAGGGCGGGAGCCTTATGCGGCTCCACAGCCCCAGCCACAAAACTATAGAGAGGAGGGGGCTGAGTGGGGGCTGCTCCAAGCTAAGGCAGGACCCCCTACTCCTGGGCAGGGTCAGAGAGGAGAAACCCATGTGTGAGGGAGCCACAGAGACCCAGGCTGAGGAGGAATGGGGCAGCCTGAGTAGGAATTCACGAATGCGCAGGATCTACACTCACTTGACCTTCAGGCTCTGGTGTGGTCCCCCGGAAGACTGGAGCAGGGGCATTCTCTCAGACAGCCCATCTGGGTAGGTGGCTTCCACCTAGGAGGAGGGAGGCACAATGAGTGGGATCCCAGGGACCTGCCCACTGCCCGCTGCCCCCCTGCCTGGGCAGGTGCTGACCGGGGGGCCGTGGGCCTGGCTCAGCACAGCGGCATGGAGCTGCAGCTGGTGTAACTGGGCACGTAGGGTCTGCTGGTTGCCCCGCACTTCACGTAGCTCCTGGGCCAGCCGCTCACTGTCTTCCTGGATGCGAAGCAGGTCTCGGGGTGGGGGCGCTGGCAGCCTCCCCTCGGGTGCAGGTAGCACCAGGCCAGCCCGCCGCACCTCCTCCTGTAGGTACACTGGGCAGAGAGGCAGGGTCAGGAAGCCTTGCCATCCCGAAACCCCAGTCAGCTTGGAGCTAATGACAGGCCCAGACCAAAAACCTCTCAGGCAAACTTCCAGCCCTCCTCCCTCTGAGCTCCAGTGGGGGCTGCTCTAGGGGTCCAGACCACGGCAGAATCAGCTCTCCTGAGCAAGGGGGCCTGGACTGAGTGTGTATCCCACACCGATTGAACATCAGCTTGGAGCGGGATACCATCTAGTCATTTCTGATTCATGGTGACCCCATGGAACACAGCAGACCTGGCCCACAGGCCTTCCTAAACTGTAATCTTCACAGGGGTTGGACAGTGGCTCTGTAGGATAAGCACTGGACTGCGAACCACAGGTGGATTGTTTGAGCCCACCAATCTTCTGTGGGAGAAAGATGAGGCTTTCTGTCCCTGCTAAGATTTACAAGCTCAGAAACCTCACACCTCTACGAATTGGAACTGACTCCACGGCCCTTAACAACAATCTTTATGGGAACAAAGGATCAGCCTTTCTTCCCTTGGAGCACTGGGTGAATTCAAACCTCTCAGCTGCCAGCACTCCCATCTCATCATTGGTGTTGTCTTTGACTTAATTGTGACTCATAAGGCCTCTCTATGACAGGGAGAACTGCTTCAAAAGGTTTTCTAGATTGCAACCTTTACAGGAACAGTTTGCCAGGACTTACTCTCTCAGAATCGCTGGGTGGACTCAAACCCTTGACCTTTGACCTTTCGGTACTTACCTGTCACACCACTAGAAAAACAACAACAACAACTAACCCCAAACAAACATTGCCAGGGAGTCAATTCCAGCTCCTAGTGATCCTCTATAGGGTTTCCGAGACTGTCGGTCTTTGTAGGAGCAGACACCCTTGCTTTCTCTCATAGAGAGGTTGGTGGATTTGAACCACTGACCTTGCAGTTAGCAGCCCAATGCCTACCCCACAGCACCACCAGGGATCTTTGTTGAACCAGCAGAACTTCTCCAATAAAGCTGATGACGGTCAGCTACTCTGTGTTCTCTCTGTCTACCCTGGAGGGGGCAGGGGGCTCCATCTCTTCCTGCTGCAGTCTCCTTCTGGGAGGGGTCCAGGACAGGGGTCCCTCTTGCCCTGGTAGAAAGCTCTGCCCCAGCCTCTCCCCTGTTTAGTAAACGGTGGTAGCTCCCAGTGCCCACAAGGTGAAGTCTGGACTCTCTTTCAATATTCAAGGCCTTTTCCAGACACCCACAGTATTTCCAAGGACACCTTACAGTTGCCCTGTCCTGATTTGGCTCTGCATGGCTGATCTGCATCTGTCTTCCCTGCCTTCCACTTTTCTCAGACCAAGCTCAGACAGTGCCTCCTCCTGGAAGCCTGCCTGGGATGCAGGCCTGGGGCCAACTCACTGAAGGTCTTCTCCAGCTCCTCGCAGCGCCGGACATCCACCACGAAGCGTCTCTGGAAGGCACTCACTGATGCATTGAGCTGTGGTTACCACAGGGAGGGGTCAGTGTGCCCAAGAGGGGGCCAGGGAGGTCCCACCCCAGGGCATGACTCTGCTTAGGCCTTCCAGCCTCATCCAGAAATGCTCTGAGTGTCCAGATGGCCACGTGCTGACCCCAGGCTGACCCAGGCCAGGTCAGTTTGGCCTCAGCCTGGGGCAGCTCTGTTCTTGCTAAATGTCATCAAATTTGTTTCAACTCAGAGCAATCCTGTAGAGGGTTTCCAAGGAGCACCTGGATTTGAACCGCTGACCTTAAAGTTAGCACTCCGTGCTTATAGCTCCGGACTTCCTAAAAACCTAGCATCTATGGCTGCCTGGTTCAAGCAGGGCTGGGGGGCCGTGTGGGGTAATCGATGTAATCTGCAGTCATGACAGCTCTGACTCAGGAGACACCCCCTCCTGCAGAGCAGAGTCACCCCGTAAGTTTTCATGGATGTGACCTTAGCCCAGCCACTGGGGACTCTGATATGGGAGAGATGGCAACTTACCATCTAGAACTAGATACTAGGTTGGTGTCAGTAGTGATGCCCCAGGACAAGGTACCCCCATGCCCAGCCCAGCCCCCACTCACATCTCTGAACTCCACGAGGCCCAGCTCGCCTAGCTGGCTCACACAGGTGTAGGCAGCAGCTGTGGGCAGGAAGAGTTGGGCCAGTACCACCTCCTCGCCCCGGAACATCGCACCCATGGTCCTGTCAGGTGGGCAGGGTGGGGGTCAGTCAAGGGATCTGCTATAGACAGTTCGGGGGTATAGGCATTCCATACACCTCAGCTCATTCAATCCTAGGAGGTTCTGTACCCCATCTGATGAGAGGGCAGGCAGGAGGTGGGGGTGACTGGAGCCTAGTCTAAGTGACGATAGGGTGCTAAACCAACCAGAAAGCAAGCAGTGCAGCTAAGAGGTGGGCCTGGGCTGACTGACCCTAGCCCAGCCTGATGGTCTCCATCAGCTCCCTGTGCCCAGTCCCAGACACCCATACCTCTGTTCATACTGGCCTTTGCACCCACAGCCTCCTCTGTGGCTGATCTCACCCTGGTCCTACTAATCCTTGGAGCCTGCAGTGCTTTAATTGCTTTAATATGGTTCTTTTAACCGGGGCCTTGTAACACCTATGAAATGACAAGGTTGTTATTGTTAAGAGCCATCAAGTTGGTTCCCACTCACAGTGACCCTTTATAAGGTTTCCAAGCGTGTAAATCTTTGAGAGAGCAGAAAGCTTCATCTTTACCCTGTGAAGCAGCTGGTGGGCTCAAACTGCCAACCTTGTGGTTTGCAGTCCAGTACTTATCCTACAGAACCACCATGCTCCCAAATGTTGTTATGTGCCGTGGAGTCGGTTCCGACTCATAGCGGCCATGTACAGGGTTTCCGAGGTTGTAAATCTTTATGGGAGCAAAAAGCCTCATCTTTCTCCCATGGAGCAGCTGGTAGTTTTGAACTGCTGACCTTGTGGCTCACAGCCCAATTTGTAACCACTATGCTACCAGAGCTCCTTATGTTCCCACATAACAAGGTGCAAATAAGGTACTTGTGACGCACCAAGAGGATTGGACAATTTTGCTAATGCAAATTAGGTGCATGGGACCCTTGGAGTGGATTGGTCAGTTTTGCCATCCTCTAAGCTTAAAGGGAACCAATCGCAGAGGCTGGAGGGGGACTTCACTACCATCAAGAAGCAGAACTGGGAGTGGAGCGAATCCAAATCCTTTGGACCCTCTGCTCTGTGCTCAAAACCTTCAAGACCCAAAACAGACAGACAGCTGAAAAGATGGCAGGGCACAGGACCTGTAGGCCAACACATGGAGCCAGGGAACTGGGTGCTTTGGGGCAGAAGGCTTGCTGGCACAGTGGGGTGCCTCCCAGCACTTGTCTGCAGAACTCAAGAGCTTTGTAACACTTGCCAGAGCAGGGCAGGGGCCAAACAGAGGGCTTGTGGGCATGACTGAGAAAAACAATGCTGCTCAAAGAACTGTACCCTGAGTTGTTCCTGTTACATCCAAGTTGACCCTGGGCCTGAACTGTAAACCTGTGAGTACACTTTGTGAGTTGCATGTGGTCACTGCTACGAGTTTGGAACCCAGTCTAGTAGTAGTAGTGAGTGCGCTGGGAAGGGTGGTTTTGGTAAAGAGGAGGGAAGGTGGAGATATATCTGGTCTCCCTAAGGTTAAAGGAGGTCAGATGCCAAGCCATTTTTATAGGCTCCCACACCAGGGGACCCCTCCAGACCTCTCTAATCCCTTATCTCTAGTCCAGTGAAGGTCTTTAACCCTTCATGGGGAGGAGGAAAATGTACCGCATTCCCATGTTATAGATGTCATCTGAAACTTGGAGAGGTCACATGATCAGCCCAGAGACTCCAGGACTATGGGATGGGGCCTGTCCCAGGGCAGCTATCTCTTATCCCCAGCCCACTGTCTAGGAGCACTAAGGGGATGGGATCTCTCCTGGGTCAGGCCCTAGGCCATGAGGGGGGTGAGGAGGAGGGTGAAGAGGGTCCTTCCCTCCCTGCTGGCAGCTGCTGCTCTTGCTTGAGGTGGAAGCAGCTCCCAGGTGTCGAAATCATGAAAGTGAAACTAGAAAGGGCGGGAAGGCCTTGCTCAAATCAAATACAGGCAGGGGTGGGGGCTGTTGGTTGGCCTCCACTGCGGCTGGTGTCCTGTGTGCTCTAGGACCAGCTACTCCTAGTCTCTTAAAAGGACAGTCCCCTAAGAAGGTGAACGTTTGGAGCCAGAGTGTCCCGCTTGTGGTCTGGGCCAGCTGGGGCCTGCCCAGCTGGTCACTTCCTTCCCTGGCTCTGGGTGCCTTAACTCTAAACACGGAACTGCTGCCCCGACCCCAGCCTGGGAGAAGAGAATGCTGGGAGGGTGACCAGAGGCAGGGGCCACACTAAGGTCACAAGGCAGAGTGTCACGGACCCCACCTCTGGACAAGCAAGATCACTATGACCTTGGGCATGTCTCTTGCCTTCTCTGGTGCTTCACTTCCTCTTTGGGTGAATGGGGATGGCCACCCAGAGCCCCATGTAACCCCTTCACAGGCCCTGCCTCAGTTAACCCTTCATGGGGAGGAGGGGAATGTATTGCAGTCCCATTTTATAGATGTCATCAGAAACTTGGAGAGGTCACATGATCAGCCCAGAGCTGCAGGGGAAGGCATGCCTTGCTGGGTTGTCTTGCAAGGCTGAATCCACAAAGGGAGGGGATGGAGGGAGTGGGACTTGAGGGTCCAGCAGCCTCGGCAACTTAAGCCATGTGTCCTGACACACAGAGACATTGGGCTGGCTCCCCTTGGTCTTGGGTATTCCCCCCAGTGGTGGACACCTATGGTGGATATGGGGTGTGTAGGGACCAGGTCATTCCACAGACCCCTGGCATATGAGGCCTTCGCTGCTGTCCCCTGCCCACCCCTCCCCCTGTCTCTTTGCCTCCTCTTATCCCCTGCCTGAGCCAGGGGCCCATCTCAGCTGTTTACTGAACAAATGGAGGTACCTTGTCCCTGTGTTTTGAAAACGGTTTGCACTTGACTACTAACCTAAAGGCTGGCAGCTAGAATCCACTCCTCAGCAACTCAGAAGAAAGGCCTGGTGATCTACTTCTGGAAAGATGACAGTCCCATAAAACTGATGCTGCACTTTTTTCTGTAACACAGGAGTCGCCATGAGTAGGGATGGTGAAGGTGCCTGCGTCCTGGGGCCCTCTCTAGGTCCTGAAAGAATCCACCCCAAGCCTCCCCTCCCACGTCCATCCCTAGGATGGAGGCGAGTGTCCCGGCTTGCCTCTGGTTCTGCTACTTCCTAGTTGCACAAGCCTCACTTTCCGCATCTGTAAAATGGGCCCCTCCTTGAGGGGAATCTGTGACAAGGAAAGATGAGTGCCCCAGGCTCCCAGAACTGGACTGTTTGTCCAGCTGTTAAGACCCCATCGTCCTCCTCTCATCGCCTCCGTAGCCCCCACAAAACCTGACACCCTGTAGGTGGCAGCTGAGGCGGGATGTGCTGTACCCCTAACCCAGCTGGGTGGGGGCACCAGGATCCGCTTCCTGGGGTTGGTGGGGGAGGTTTGCAAGAGTGGCATGCAGAGGAGCGGCTCTGTAGATCCCAGTCGGGGCACTCACCCCGGGTAGGCTGCACGCGGCGCCGCTCCGCTCCAGGATGTCCAGCGGAGTTGACCCGGCCAAACGCAGTTTAGTGTTCCCCGCGGCAGCGCCCACGCAACTAACTCCTGCTAAAGCAGGCGCGGCCGGGCGGGGCGGGGCGGAGCCAGGATTGCCCCACCAGGACCACGCCCCCTCGTGGCCCTGCCCCTCCGGGAAGTCCCGGGACTCAGCGGAGGAAGCAGCGGCAGTGACCCGAGTGGCCCCGAGGTTTGTTGCCTGAGGCTGGGCCGAGCCCCTTGAGGGGGACTGGAAGCACGTTCCTGCGCCAGCCTGCACCAGCCGCGTGCATCTGTGGGCTCGGATGGGGTTGGGCGCCCCAGCTCCTGGCTAGGGGAAGGGCCCCTACCACCCACTTAGAGAGGCCTGTTGTTTTTAAGTGCCTCTGAGTTGGTTCCACCCATAGCGATCCTGTATAGGGTTTCCAAGGAATGACTGGGGAGCTTGAACCACCAACCTTGCAGTTCAAACCGACTTTGCAATCCAGTGCATTAATCCACAGCACCTCACTCCAACAGCCTCGGGCTCTGGGCTGGGTTCAGCACTTGCGTTTAGGACCTGCCTCTAGGACCCCCTCTCTAACCACCAGGGATAGGAGCCGGCCTGGACGCAGGGCGTCTGAATCTGGACTCTACCTTCTTCAGTGGCAGTCAGCAGTTACTCGTCAGTGACCTGGCTTTGGTCAGTCCCACACAGGACACTCGATCCTAGTATCGAAAGTGAGGGGTTCAGGAAGGCCCAGCTGCCTGCACTTTGTACCCACTGGGGAACAGAGGAGCAAGGGTGCACCCAACACTGATGATCCTCGAATCCACAAGGCCAACAAGGCCAACGGAATCACCTAACAGGGCCAGTGTTCTCAGCAAACGACCCTGTACTGGGACTACACAGGGCTGATTGATTCTAGGGGGGAACCCTTAGTTCAATACATGGTGGGCAGGTGGAAGTTGGAAATCTATTGTGGTTACAAAATAGTGTTAGAGCTTGTGGTGAGCAGCTTGGAGAACCACCTTAAGTGCCCAGTTTGACCAGCTTTTTCATTGAGGTGAAATTCATATAGTATAAAATGAACCATTTCAAAGTGATTTTCTTGGTCACATCTGGTACATTCTCAATGTTGTGCAACAACCACCTCTACTTCTGGAATGCTGTCATCCCTCCAAGAATTAAATGAGTGTCCATTAAGGAGTTGTTCCAGGTTCTCTGTGGCTACTGTCTCTATGCACTTAACCTCTTCCACATATTTTCTATAAATGGAATCATACATTATGCTGTGACTGGCTTCTTTCAGCATTGTTTCCAAGATTCACTGACATTGTAGCACATGTATTTCATGCCTTCTTTATAGGCAAATAATATTCCCTTGCATGGATGGGCTACACTAGGTTTATCCATCTGTTGATGGACAGTTGGGTTGTTTCCATCTTTGGACAATTGTGAACAATGCTATAAACATTGGACTACCGGTTTCTGAGGCTCTATTTTTAGTTCTTGTGGAAATGCTGGGTCTTAGGGTTAAGTGGTTCCAACTTATGGCGACCCGGTCCAGTGCTGATCCTACCAAGCCACACCAAGAGTCTGGGTCATATGTTAATTGCTTAAGTTTCTGATTTGTTTCAACCACCCATCTTGGGTCCATTTTTAATAAACATTTTGTTTATCCGTGTACAAATCTAGGAGCTATGCTTACTTATTCAATGCTGGTTGTCTGGGGAATGGGAACTGGAAAGTGATTGAGGAGTTTTAAGGCAGCCTCATTTTGGGAAAATGTCCATTCCTGTGTCCAGTGGAGGGCACTCATCTGCACCCTGGCTTCTGTAGCAGTTAAGAGGACATTTGGATATTCCTTCCTGTGGTTCCTGCTCACCCTGCATGCCCTCTTCTGCAGATTGTAGCCATCAAATCTTGGCTGGCAGTGGGCCCATGAACACTTTTGGGAAAACAACCAGACATCAGTGGATGTCCTGAGGGGCTCGAGAGTCTGGGGCAGGTCTCCTCAGAGTCTTGACCTACTAGCATACTTGAGCCATTCCCACTCCCTGCTCCACAGAACACTCTCCCATTTCCTTCTAAGGAGCACCTTGGGAGATTCACTTTTGGAAATGATGGAGAAGGGGGCTCAAATTCTCAGACCTGAGTGGTCCTGGGCAAGTCAGTTCATCTCTCTGAGCCAGCTTCCTCACTGCACAGATGGAAGCGTACCAAATTCAAGGGGGCTCATTCAGGGTTTGACCAGGGATCCCTCAGTCCTCGGCTTACGTGTGACTCCAAGGACCCAGGAGTTTCTGGTTTAGAATGGCAGAAGGGGAAGTCCTGGTGTGGGGAAGTTGAGGAGGAAAGGGGATGTGGCCAGGGGATGTGGCCAGCTCAGGGCCAGCAGGGCCTGTGTCATCCCCTCATGACAGTCACCCTCAGAGCAGGCATCCACCTGCCCCCCAGCAAGAATGGCCTGGTCTTTCTGAGATTCTCACTGTATGTAGTTGGGAGGCCTAGATTCTGGGGGCTCATGTATGGTGGCCCTCAGTGGGCCTATATGACCTCCAGCATTGTTGAGCCTTTGGGAATATGCCCAGGAAGCTGTGTGGGGGACAGGGATGCTCTGGGCTATGACCTAGCCTGGGGGAAAAGGTCTGAGGGGTCCCACTGAGTCACACAGGCAGGCCAGGCCTAGCCCAGCGAGCAGACTCCATGAGGACTCGGGTGGGCTGGCGGGGCCTGCGCTGGTGAGGGCCTTCATGACAGGAGGCGGTGGGGATTAGAGTGCTTTTATTGGGCAGCAGGGCTGCAGCCGGCGGCCAGGTCACCGGTATAGGTAGTCGGCCTGGATGTTGGCGGCGATCTCGGCCTCCCACTTGTCCCCATTGTTGAGTAGTTTCTCCTTGTTGTACAGCAGCTCCTCGTGCGTCTCCGTGGAGAACTCGAAGTTGGGGCCCTGGAGGGAGACACCGGTGCCGGCCAGTCAGGCTCCACCCCCCCCCCCACCCAATGGTATGCCAGACTGCACCCAGGAGCCTCCGTCCGGTCCCCCGGCCCCTCACCTCCACGATGGCATCCACTGGACAGGCCTCCTGGCAGAAACCGCAGTAGATGCACTTGGTCATGTCGATGTCGTAGCGAGTGGTCCGGCGGCTGCCGTCCGCCCGGGGCTCGGCCTCAATGGTGATGGCCTGGGGGGACAGGGGTAGCCATCAGCATTGCCACACTGCCCAGACCCCAGGACAGAGCTCTGTCTCTCATGGCCTCTCATGAGGGGCTCAACCCCAGCTCCAGGCGTTCCTGGGGTCCTGCCCTGGGGCTCTCTTGTCACTCTCTCAACCTGATGCCACCTCCTCAGACACCTCGCCTGATTCCCGTCCCCAGAGACCACTGTCCCATCTATGGTAGCAGCCTCTTTCGGTTTTCTTCTTAGCCCGCCCCGTGAGAACTTTGTGTTTGTTTATAAACTGCCTCAGAGGGCAGGCTGGGACCTCCTTGTTGTTGGCAGTGCCCTCTGCTAGCCCTGGAATAAGAGACCACTGGTGAATGTTGAATAACCCTCAGACTTGGACCAAACTGCCCCCATTTGATGGAGGAGAAAACTGAGGCACAGAGAGGTTGAGGGGCTAAACCAGATTTGGAAGCAGGTCCGTAACTTCCCATTCCTGGGTATATCCTTGTGCCAGCTGCAGAAGGGTTTGTCTGGGGTCTCTCACCACTGGGACCACCTTCAGAGATGCTTGGCAATGACCCTCACCCCTCAGGAAGTGGAGGCCCACGTCAGACAGGCCTGCCCCCTCCATATGTCCAGGTGGGGAAGGGGCTCAGTGCAGGGAGGGGCTCCTCTGGGGACACAGCCATAGTGTGGGCCCCTCTGCCTCTGCGCAGGCTGGGGCTCACCTGGGCGGGGCAGACGGCCTCACACAGCTTGCAGGCGATGCAGCGCTCCTCCCCGGATGGGTAGCGGCGTAGGGCGTGCTCCCCACGGAAGCGTGGGCTCAGCGGGCCCTTCTCAAACGGGTAGTTGATGGTGGCCGGCTCCCGGAACAGGTAGCTCAGGGTCATGCCCAGACCTGTGGGCAGCATGAAAGTGATGTGGGAGACCTCCCTCCTGCAGGGTCCACTGCTGCCCACGCCAGGCCTGCTCCTCCCACCCCCCCACCCCCAGGGCCTACCTCGGACCAGCTCCGTCCACAGTAGGGTCTGAGCTGCCCGGTCAGTCACTGACTTCATGTCCATCTTGGGTTCCTGCATGTTTACATACTCTGTGGGGGAAGGGTGGAGAGGTTGTGACGTGGGGGGTGCCTGCCCTGCCCTGGACCACCAGGGACTTGCTCATGACCTGCCCCAGGCTCCGTGGGAGCTGGCCTGAAGTGGACCCCGGGCAGCCCTGCTGTCCTCTCCCCAGGGCTCAGCAGGAGGAGTTGAGGGGTGGGCACTAAGAAGGAGGCATGGACGCCCACCACCCTCGCCTTGGCAACTCCCTCCCGAAATGTCTAGGAACTCTGAGATCAGACTGTCGCCTCGAGGACGCTGCCCTCCATAGGCCCACCCCCACCACCCTGCGCTGCTTTACAGAACACACTAAGGCTGCTGAGCAAGAGCCACTGGCCACAACTGGGCCACTCCCGGGACACTCACTGTAGGTGGCTGCCGCTGAGCTGCCGTGGAGACTCCGGCCACCAAGACGTCCTGCAAGGACAGGGGTTATGTAACCTCAGCTGTAACCTCGCACTGGGAAAGTGGCTTCCACCCCAGAAAAAGCTTCCTCGCACCTACCTGTGTGTGAGGCTTGGACCAGGGCCCGCAGCAGGGTCGGTGTGCCCAGGCAGCGCATCTGCAGGCATGAAAAGCGACAAGGAATGTAGAACAAAGCTCAGCTTCCAAGAGAGGCCAGAGTGCCTGGACCGAGAGACTAGAGGAAACCCGGACACTGCTTCCCTGAAATACCCTCTGACCCTGGAACTGACACCATTCCCAGAGGTCACCTCTCATCCAAGTGACAGACTGACATCTAAAATACACAGGATCACCTTTGGGTACTGTGTGCCCGTAAATCAACTGCAGGAGACCAAATGGTCACCATTCACCCTACCGCAAAGAGACGAAGGTAAGGGGACGGGGCAGGGAAGCCAGAGTAGTGCAAACTACTGGACTATAGAGGCCGATGGCACACTATTGTGGGAAATGTAACCAATGCCCTGCAGCAGCCTGCATATAAATTCTTAAACGGGTAAACTTTTACCTAAGGACAATAAAATATTAACACAAAGACAGTAGTCACCCCTCACCAGTGAGGGATATGCTCCAAGAGCCCCTGACCCCGAGAGCACTGAACCACATATACACTGTTTCTTCCTTTAGTACAGAGGACAGGCACCCAGCAGCCCACCCGGTGCTTGTAACTGGGTGCTTGTGACCTGGGTGCTTGTAACTGAGATCATGAAAAACAAAGCCGTGGATAAGGGCACTGACTACTGAGTGCTGGTGTGGGCTGTAGGATAATGCACTGGACTGAAAGGTTACTTTAAATCTCAAAGTCGGTGGTTCAAATCCACCACAGGGTTGCTATGAGTCAGAACAGACTCTTCAGCACTGAGTGACAACAAGCAGGAGTTCTAGTGTGGCACTGTAGGATAAGCACTGTACTGCTAACTGTAAGGTCGTGGTTCAAATCCACCAGCTGCTCCTCAGAAACCCTATACAGGGTTGCCAAGAGTTGGAACCCACTCGACAGCACTCAATAACTATACAAGGGGGCTGTACAAAGTTTGTAAAAAAAAAAAAAAAAAAAGGAAGGAAAACATAATGGACTCTTTCCACGAACTTTCTGAAGCTCCCTCGTATGTTAAACTGTCCTCAGGGGCCTGGGTCACATCTGACAATAAAAAAGGGACATGGAGAATAAAAAAAGTGAGGGAGGCAAAGGTGGGTCTCAGAACCAGCCCTGGATTTCTGTCTGGAACCCGCATTCCTCCCTCCCTGCTCCCAGGGCACATCTCCGGTCCCTCCCACCTAGCCAACATCAGCTGGGTTAGGATTTAGGGGGCAGGGTGGACCCCAAGTTCTCTCTGTCTCACTTCCTGAGAAATCCTTTAAATCCGCCCCCTGCAGTGCTCCTGGCTTCCACTTCTCCCCTGTCCCACTTGTACCCCCCCCCCGCCCCCAAATCTGACAAATAAAATATTAAGGAATCTCTACTAACCATAAACATTTGCTCACAGGAAGCTTTGTGCCAGGTGCTAGGCTTTGTGCCATGCCTAGGACCTGAACATGTGACCAGGAGCGAGAGTCCCTGGAGAAGGACATCATGCTTTTAAAGCGGGGGTCAGTGACAAAGAGGAGAGCTCCCAATGGGATAGATTAACCCAATGGCAGCAAGATGGGTTCAAAATTAACGACTGTGCGGATTGCGCAGGAAGGACACATAAGGTCGCTGAGAGGCAGACCGACTCGATGGCACCTAATAATCACCCAGTAACCTAATGATGCGCAGTCGGTTAGACGCACAGAGACCCTCTAGGGCAGAGAAATGCCCCATATGATTTCCGACACCGCCAAGCTTTAAATCTTCGCTGGAGCAGACAGCCTCGTCTTTCTCCTGAGGGGCGGCTGGTGGGTTTGAACTGCTGACCTGCACGCCTCTATTACAGACGAAAGAGACCTGCTCACTTGCTCAGTAACCTGCTGAGGTTGGCGGGGTGACAGGAGACACCCCCCCCCACACACACACACCTGCTGGAACACTTAAAGGCTCCAATAATCCTCAAGATCAGATCCCTGTCCCCAAATTCAAGCCCCTTCTGGACTTGTCGCATGACGTCGGACAGATGACGTCACCAGGCTCACTTTTCCTCCTTGTAAAATGGGGGGCCGTGGGGAACACAGGAGCGCACACATGCCCGGGATTATTAGCCCTGCGACCGTGACTTTGGACTCCAGCCCAGGGCACCCGAGCCGACACCTGGCTTGACCTTCTACGTGACCTCTGACCTTAGGGATGCAGGAGCCAGCCGGCTGGTACCGCGCATGCGCCCTGTGGTGCCGGCCTCCCAGTCTGCCCGCTACACGCTGAAGGGCACAGAGGTCGCATGTCCTGAGAGGGTCGAGGAGCAGTCCAAGCGTGGAACCTGCAGGGCTACTGGGGACACCACGCGTGCCTCGGCGCCGCGCTGCCCAGGCCCGGCCTAATGGCTGTGCACCAAACACCCACCTTGAAGCGCTCCAGCTCCTTCCTGTGGCAAGTGGGCCTGTCAGCCGAAAGGAGGAGCCTTAACTCTGGGACGCTGCTATTGGACCAGCTGTTTTCACCTTTTCGGAACGGACCCTCTTTAGTGTGATCTGATTGGCCAGTGGAGGAACTGAAAGAGGCGGGACTCAGAGCTATCTTTCTTTTGATAGGCCAGGACAGAGCGAACTCTTGAAGTCCTGCAGGGCGTCGCCATGTTGGTTTGGAGAGGCTGGTAAACGCGGAGTCGCGAGCTACGTGAGGCGGGACATCCGGGGCGTGGTTTAGGAGGTGGCGCTGGTTTGCAATGGGCGGGTCTGGAGTGCTGGACGTGATGAGGGACCTTGACTGCCGTTGGAGCGGGGGCGTTTGAGGCCAGGCCCGAGAAACTTCCTCCGTGTCCCTCACTCTCCAGAACTCCGGTCGCACGAGCCAGGCGGGGCCGACTGGGGAGTGTATGAAGAGGCTCGGTGCTGGCGGGGTTACGTTAAGTTGCGAGGTCCGCTGAACAGATGCGGAAACTGAGGCACAGAAAGCCCTATTGCCCTGGATCTATGACTGGGGGCCAGCAAGCAAGTGGATTCTGTATAGAGGGATCGACAAGGCTGAGCAGTGGGGACCCCTAGGCAGTCTGGGTGGGTTCTCCTGGAGGAGGCGTCGCCAAGCTGACTGGGCTGGCGTTGGGCAGGCCAAGAAGGGCAGGGAAGTCTGAAATCCTTAGGAGAGGAGGACACGGATAGGCTGGGGTGTGGAGTGAGGGGCGGTGGCTGGGTAGGGACCACTGGAGTCATAGAAGGGGTTGGGATCGGAGAAGCTCTGAGTGTCTGGGAGGACACTGTTGATCCCATAGTGACCCTATATAGGGTTTCCGAGGAGTGTTGGGCGAGCTCGAACAGCTGACTTTGAGTTTCAAGCCAACTTTGCATTCCATTGCATTAACCCACAGCGCCATACCAGGTCTGGGAAGAAGCGGGATGAAAATAAGGTGATGGGTGGTGAATGTGAGGGCTGGAAATCCTGTGACGATTTGGAAGTATCAGGATGTGGGAGGCAGCTAGGGGGTTTTCTTCTTGGGCATGGATGGCTGTGGAGTGCTGGTGGTACCGTGGGTTAAGCGTTTGGGCTGGGAACTGGACCCACCAGTGGCTCCTCAGGAGAAAGATGTGCAGTTTGCTTCCATAAAGATTTACGATTGAAAATCGTCCGGGGTACTTCTACCCTGTTCTGTGGGGCTGCAATGAGTGTGCAGGGGAGTGGCCGAGTGACCAGGGGAACATTTCATGGTTGGGGGGCCCCAGGAACAAGGGTCCAGTGTGGGTCATGGTGGCAGTAAGGTGGCAAGGGCCACATGGGGAGGCAGTGAGAGAGGAAAGAGGTGGGCTGGGGGAGAGGGGACTTTGGTGGGAGTGGTATCAGGTGACCTGACCAGGGAGGAGGAAGCACCCTTGCCCACCTAGGTGAGACAAGACACCTGGAGCACCAGTCAGCATTTGTCTATATTAAAGCCTGATGCTGCCTCTTGAGGCGCTCAGCTACTAACCAAAAGGTCAGCAGTTCAAACCCACCAAGGGCTCCAAGGAAGAAAGATGTGGAAATCTGCGTCTATAAAAATGGCAGCCTGGGAAAAGATTAGATGACAGTGAGTTTGAGTTTTTATTTGGTTTTGGTTTTATGATGTCCTCAAATTTAATCCTTGAAACAGTCTCAGGGGATGATGGTGCTGTTAAATCACCTCCACTTACAGATGGAGAAACTGAGGCTCAGAGGTTGCAACAGTTCCTCCAGGGTGCAGCCTGAACCAGACAGATTCTAGGACCTCTCTGCTGCCCCCACCAGGAAAGTGGGTGCCTGTCTGTGTCCATCTGCCCTGTTCTCACAGGAGGGCAGCTGAGGGAGGAGGCTGGGGTGGGGAGGAAGGAAGCAGTTATAATCTTAGCAGAGCCTGATTTCCTCGTCCGGGCACCCCGGGCTCGCCCAGCTCCATATATGCCAGGGCCTCGTGCTGGGGTGGGATCAGAGCAGGGTGCAGCTGCAGCTCCGGGTCTCCATAGCCATCAGCAGTAATCTCAGGTTGCGGGGTGAGTAGGGAGGGTATCGAAGGGAGTAGATTTTCTCCAGGCCAGGTGGGCGCAGCAGGCAGGCGCGGTGGTGGGAGAAGGTGTCAAAGGAGAACTTGCCGTGGTACCTGCCCATCCCACTGGCACCTGCATGGAGTCAGGTCCATCTTGGGCAGCTAAGCCCACGCTCAGACCCCACCATATTCAAGTGACACTATTGCAAATAAGGGACAAGATGGATGACACTTACCCACTCCTCCAAAGGGCAGGCTAGAGAGCGCCATGTGCATAAAGCCGTCGTTCCCACAGAAGCCACCACTGCTAGTCCCCGCCAGCACCTGTTTTACCACCTGGTGAGAAGAAGCAAGGAGACTGAGGCGCTCTGTTCCCCAGGGAACTCACTTCTGGAGATCTTGTCTCCCAGAGTTGTTGTTAAGTGCCGTGGAATTGATTCCGACTCGTAGCTACCCTGTACAAGGTTTCCAAGGACTGGCTGGTGGGCTTGAACCGCTGACTTTGAAGTTCACACCGACTTTGCAGTCCAGCACATTAACCCACAGCACCACAACAGGACTACCAGCGTTGAGGCTCCCCTAAATCTCTACTCCTGTGTGGTCCAACCTCCAGCCCAGGAGATGGCACGAGCCCAGCAGAGCAGTGATAGGGAGGGGCCCCATGGGAGGGATCAATCTGCCAAGTCTCCAGGGAGGGGCCGGAGTTATTCAGGCAAAGACAGGAGAGCAAGCATCCCAGGCAGGGGTGGGGGTCTGGCCGAGGGGAGGCACTCTAGAAACCTGGAAGAGCCTCAGATCCAAGTCTAGAGAAATCGGGGGCCTGGTGGGATGCACTATTGGCAGTGGGTGCCAGGGACAACATTCAGGCATGGTAATGTCGCCAGTCTTTAGGAACATGTACTTGGCCCTTGCTTGACTTAATAGAAGACCTTCCTCTTAGATCTCTAGGTTAATCTGAAGGATGAAAGGGACAACAAGATCAGTAGATGATCAATGGAGTCTCTGGGCAATGAAAACGGTTAAAATGCTCCACTGCTCACTGAAAGGTTTGGGGACACCTTGGAAGAAATGCCAGGCAATCTACCTCTGAAAAACCAGCATGTCACACAGGAATTGCTTTGAGTTGGAATCAGCTGGTTTAGATGATAAACACTACTGAACCGCTGTGAGACTCAACAGCTGTAAAAGGTGGATTAGAAAACACACATACCAAGGGCAGGAGACACAGGCTCGTGTTTTAGGTGTGTGTGTGTGTGTGTGCATGTGTGTGTATGGGGACCAGGGAAGATGGTCAGAAAAATTCAAAGATTTCTATGCCAGATGACCTTGCTTCTAAAAAACACCTGTGTAGAGTTTTCTCAAACCACAACTATCCAGAACAATGTCTGATTCTGGGACCAGGGCAGAAAAATGCAAGATGAGCCTGCAGCACCTTATAAAACAAAAACCAAGGAAGTGGCTGGAAAACAAAAGGACAGGTGTGTCTGATGACAGGAGCCAAGTTGGAAGAGCTCCCGGTGGCCAGAGCTGAAGCAATTAGAGCCACAAAATCAGTGTCGTCAGATTAGAAGCTGTAGACTTAAATAAACACACAGGCACACCTTGGAGTTCAGTTCCAGGCCACCACAGTAAAGCAAGTCACACGCATTTTTTGGTTTCCCAAATAAAAGTGATGTTGACCCTCGACTGTAGTCTAACCAATGTGCAGTTAAGTACCATAGAGTCAGTTCCGACTCATAGTGACCTTGTACAGGGTTTCCGAGGAGCAGCTGGTAAGTTTGAACCACAGTCCTTGCAGTTCAAGCTGACTTGTGGTCCAGTGTTTGTCCTACCGTACCATACCAGGACTCCAGTAAATGTGCGGTTGTTGTTGTTGTTAAGTGCCGTTGAGTCGATTCCTACCCATAGTGACCCTGTATACAATTTCCAAGGAGCAGTTGGTGAGCTTGACCCACCGACCTTGCAGTGCAAACGACTTTGCAGTCTGACGCATTAGCCCACAGCGCCACACCAGGACTCTCTAAGTGTACGGTTGTTGTTGTTGTTTATGTGCCGTGGAGTCGGTTCCGACTCATAGCGACCCTGTACAGGGTTTCCGAGGCCGTACATCTTTACGGAAGCAGAAAGTAGCAGGATACAAAAAGGTTGAAACCATATGAGAATGACCAAAAGATGATGCAGAGACCTGAAGTGAGCACAGCGCCGACACACTTGGTCGACTCGGGGTTGCCACAAACCTTCAGTTGGTAAAAAACACTATCTGTGAAGTACAATAAAACGAGATCTGCCCGTACCTGAGTCCATGTTAACATAAATAAAACAAGATCCTCCCGTACCTGAGTCCACACTAATATAAATAAAACGAGGTCCTCCCGTACCTGAGTCCACGTTAATATAAATAAAATGAGATCCTCCCGTACCTGAGTCCACACTAATATAAATGAATGAGAAGACAAAGTTTTCTTACAGAATTCCAAATAATAGCTGCAGACATTCTTCTCTCTAGGAGGTGGAGCCTAACCACTCATCCTCCCATTGAGGGTGGGCTAGACTTACAGAGCAGAACCTGCCCCTTAGGGCTTCCCGGACTAGCAGCTCAACACCTAACCCACAGCACAACCAGGTCTCCTTTCGAGAAGAGAGGAAGGGAAGAGAAAAACAGGCACCTGCAGACAACCCCCTAACCACATGACTAAGGTGAGCGGCACCGTTGTGTGTGGATGTCATAGACAAGCCACGTAGTGAAAAGGCGGACCTTACAACTCTGCTATTCTCTCAAGCCTATGAAAACAAAGACAGAAAAGTCAAGAGGGGACACTGTAGGCTGCCACAGATCTGAGGGAACACAGAGGGGATGTTAACAGAAAAACAGGTGAAACCCCAATAAAACAGAGTTTTGTCAGTGAACACATGCCACGGTGGGCTTCTCAGTTTCACAAATGCTCCAAGGTTATGTCCTCTTCCCATTTTTGTCCAACTCATAGTGACCCTAGAGGACAGATTAGGACTGTCCCTAGGGTTTCCAAGGTCAGACTCTTCACTGTGGCAGACTGCCACATCTTTCGCACTCAGTACCAGGCTGTGCCCCAACCCATGCAGGGACGCTGCTCCCCAGGTTGAATCCTTATACGGTGCAGGAAAAGGCCTCTCTGGGCAGGCCTGTTAGGAGGGGGCACCACCTCTTCTCCCATCCAAGGCAGACAGCTGGTAGGCTGCTCCTGGGCGGACCCCTCAGTCAGGTGCTCTGTGCTGGGCACGCTGGTCCCTGTGGTCAGCACTATAGTCATGACTCCCAGGGTGGTTCCTGTCCTCACCCCTCTTGGCCCCTGTCGCCCCCGCCCTGGCCACACCTGGCTGCTGTTGGAGAAGGCATAAAGTGCCAGGGGCTTCTCGCGCCGGGTGATGAAGTCCACAGCCTCGTCCAGGCCCCTCACGGTCACGATGGGCAGGATGGGCCCGAAGATTTCCTCCTGCATCACTGGCTCTGTCTCCTGTACGTCCACCAGCACTGTGGGGGCTGTGGCACAACACACTCAGCCCGGGCCCCAGACCCTCCTGCTGTGAGCTAGGGCCAGTGGGGGCTCGGGCACCCAGGAAGCCGAGGGATGCTCCAAGGAGGAGCAGGGGGTGGGCTCCCAGCCTGGCTGGGCCCAGGGCAGCCTCAGTCTCCTGGGAGACAGACTTGGTGACAGTGTCAGAGTTGGGGGCAGAGGGCCCTGTCACCCAGAGCAGCAGGTGCTCAGGGTGGTGTTGGGTCAGAACTGGGAGTGGGGTTGGCCCAGTGCAGAAGGGCACCCAGAGCTTGTACCCATCCCTGCATCCTTCTAGACCCCTGCGCCCCTGGATTCTCTGAGCCAGTCTGTGACCTTCCGTCCATCTGCACCCATGTCTCCCCCTGCCTCCCAGACCGCCATGGCGGACTCACCGATATATCGCTCACTCTCGTCGCTCTGGCCACCGATGGCCACGCGCCCACAGCTCAGCAGGCCCTGCAGCCGGTGGAATTGCTTCTCCCCAATGATGCGGCCCAGGCTGGGGGAGCCTTTGGGGTCATCCCCATAGAAGCGGGTAATGGCGCTCTGAATAGCGGGCAGTAGTCGCTCCTGCGTCTCGCGGCTGCACAGGACGTAGTCAGGGGCCACACAGGTCTGACCGGCGTTGAAGTATCGGAACCAGACCACGCGGTTGGCCACGGTCTGAGGGTCGCAGTTGTCGTCCACATAGCAAGGGTTCTTGCCCCCCAGCTCCAGCGTGATGGGAGTCAGGTGCTTGGCCGCGGCGGTCATGACAATCTTGCCCACGCGAGGGCTCCCTGAACGAAATGAAACCAGAGTGGCCCTTCACCACAACCTGGGGATCTGATGGTGAAGGTCAGACTAGGGTCCCCTCTAGGAATCTCCAACCCCCGCCCCCATGTTGTCTCTCATCAGCCAGGGATATTGCATTTTTTGGGGTTCTCATCTGGGAAGAGGAAGGCAAAGACAGCGTTTGTCCTGCTGCAAAGGGAGGAGGAGCCTCTGCTTTCTCTCCTGGAGACCTCCTGCCTCCTTGGCCTTATCTGTCACCTCCTCTAGAATATCCATGCTGGCTGGCTGCCTGAGGCCTGGGCAGGACCATTCTTCCCTCTGTCCCCTTAAGGGAGGACTGGGGGCAGTGGGGTGCAGCAAGAGTCAAGAGGATTTTAGAACTGTGGTGGGTGGGCCTAGACCAGTGGCCCAAGAAAGGACTCACTCAGCCTTTCTCGGAGGCCTCCCCGGGGCACCGGCCAGCCTGCCTGGGTACCCACCCTGTCCTCTTTCTGCCTTGTTCTCTCTCTGACCTATCTCAGATCTGGGTGCTCCTAGGGTTCTCTCTGGACAGCCATCTCCTGCTGACTGGCAGGGTGGTGCGGAACTCACCTGTGAAGAAGATGTAGTCAAACTTGTTCTCCAGCACCTTCCCCATATCCTCGGGTCCGCCCAGTACCACGGAGAAGCAGCTCTGCAAGGAAGTAGCAGTGACCCCATAGGACCCCACACTGGCGACCCCCAAAGCTGCTCGCCACAGCCTGGCCTCTACTCTCCTTGCCTGCTCTGACCCAGAGCTGCCAGGGTTCTAAGTGGCCAGGCATGGAGGGGGTGGGCAGTGGGAACTCCCAAGGCTGCTGGGCAGGGACAACCCTTGAGTCCCCACCCAGCAGGTGTGTGGCTGTGGTTGGCTGGAGGACTGAGGCCAGGGTCAGCAGGGTCAACTCAGTGTAAGGAGCCCAGGGGGGCAGGGGACCTTGGGGACTCCTTAGAGTACACCTGTGATGACCAGCTGTGATTTACTCACAGGGAAACTCAGGCTTTGGCCAGGGCTGTCCAGTTTGGGAGACCATGAAATTGATGTTGAAATTGGGTCTGACTAACAGGTTCTGTCCTTCCCCTACCTGACCCCAGTAGAGTGGGGGCCACCCAGGACTGCTCTAGTCTGCCAGACCCTGCTCACCTGGTCCAGGTATTGGGGCAACACCTCAGCCAGGACCTTTTCAACACTCTTGCTAACCTCTGAGGGCTTCAGCACCACACAATTCCCTGCAGGGGCAGACAGGGTGGGAGGAGGGGTGAGAGAAGAGGGTCTAGACCTTCTGGGACCCTTGAGCCACTTCATTTAGTCTCCCACCTGCAGGGCAGGTGCCAGCCTCATCGTAGGCTCAGATGAGGAAACTGGTTCAGAGGGCAAAGGAGCAGGCCCAAGGCCACACAGCCTGGGAGTGGGCTCCAGTCTTCTCTGTCACCTGGTGCCAGCTCCCGCTTTCTCGTTGGCCCTGTCTGGGAAGGGAGGTCCACTGCTCACCTGCGGCCAGGGCACCCACCAGGGGCACCAGCGTCAGGTTCACGGGGTAGTTCCAAGGGGCGATGATGAGGACCAGGCCGAAGGGCTCCTTACGGATGAAGGCCGAATCCAGCTGGGTGGCCTGGGCCGGGGGTGGTGGGCGGAGACAGTGATGAGTGGGGAGGAGCAGCCCCCTTCCCTGAGGGAGGCCCAGGAAGGAGTGAACAGAATCCTGAAGCCTCTTCCTCACTCACCAGGTTTTTGGGCACTTTCTCATCCTTCATCCAGGCCCGAAGGTTCCTGAGAGCCAGCTTAATCTCGTCCTGACTGATTCGGATCTCAGACAGCTCCGACTCAAAGGCCGACTGTAGGAAGGGGCAGGGTATTGAGGGGAGGGCCTGGGGAGCGTGCAATTCCTCCAACCCAGCTCTGGGCACTGGTTCATTCACATGGTGTTCGCTGAGGACCTACTGTGAACAGGTGCTGGGCTTGAGACCCACACAGATGGAAACGCCTGCCCCAGGGGGTGGTGTTGTGGGGAAACAGGCACAATGGTTAGAAAGCTTAGTGCCGTGTGTGTGTGTGTGTGTGTGTGTGTGTGTGTGTGTGTGTGTGTGTGTCGATGTCTGGATGGTGGGTGTGAGTGTGTGCAGGAGGACTCATGTGTGAGCACACAGGTATGTGTGAGTGTACATATGTGTGCAAGTGTGTGTGTGCAGGAGTGTCAGTGTGTATGTGTGTGCACACGTGTGCATGTGTCATGAGTGGATTGTGTGAGTGAATGCTTGAGTATGGGAGCATGTGTGTGTATGCTGTGTGCATACGTGTGTGATGGAGTGTACCTGTGTGTGTACTTGCTCTATTTTGTACAAGGTGGTCGATGTGGGCCTCTGGCTGAGGTAACATTTGAGCAGAGATCTGGAGGAAGCATGTGTGTGTATGCTGTGTGCATACGTGTGTGACAGAGTGTACATGTGTTTGTACTTGCTCTATTTTGTACAAGGTGGTCGATGTGGGCCTCTGGCTGAGGTAACATTTGAGCAGAGATCTGGAGGAAGGAAGCAGGGGAGCTCATGGGTGGACACGTGGAGACCGAGCATTCCTGGCAGAAGGTCTGGCTGGTGCAAAGGCCCTGGGGTGGCCATGAGTTTGCTGTGCTCCCGATTAGCAAGGAGCTAAGAGTGAGAGGTGATGGGACCAGGCAGGTCAGGCGGAGCAGGGACAGGATGGGACTCAGGCTATGTGCTGGGTGGTCTGCTGAGGGCAGCCACACGGGCAAGCATCATGGCTGCAGTCAGGGGTCAGGGATCACTGTCAGGCTTCTAGAGCAGGTGTGAGAAGGAGGCAAAGTCAACAGGGACATTGTTCTGCTCTCTGTGAGAGCCCTGCCTGGCCCCACCTCAACCAGGGAGAAGTGGCCACCAGTGGGCCACAGGCAGCTGGAGACCACAGACAGGGTAGCTATCTTCCTGCTTCAGATATCGCTGTCACAGTGCAAGCTCCCCTTGCCCCACCCTAGGAGTGCTGGAATAGGGGAGGAAGAAACCACACTTACCCAGTACTTCTTGGAGTTAAGCCGAGTTTACCTGGTAAATTACCCCTAATCTGGCTGAGGTTTGGGCAGCGTGTATGGAAAGGTCTGGGCCCGGTTGAAGGCTGTGGTTGTGGAAATGTGGGTTATTTTCAGCCAGACTCAAATGCTGGCTCTGCTCTTACTGGCTGTGTGCCCTTGGGCAGGAGCCTTCCCTCTCTGAGCCTCACTGGGGGATTGCTGGGGATGGTGGCTGTCCCCTGTTGGAAGAACTGTTGGGGTGAAATGAGATACTACATGATGGTACTGGGCAGATTCTGTCTGCTGCCAGAGGGAGGGACGGGATGGAATTTTCTGGGCTACTGCTCCCTTTGTGGGGCCCCCAGTTTCTTGGGTTGGCAGGATACTTATATCCCAGTTGGGTGGACAGGAGGTGAAATCTGAGCTGACGGGAGTAAAAAGACCAGATAAACTGTCCAGTCTGGTCCTGCAGTGGAGGAGGGGCCGGTAGGTGGGAAGTGGCAAGAACACTAGGATAGGGGTACAGTGAGTGCCCGATAACTTGGGGCATTTGTGGGGAGACAGAAGGAGGACCCCAGGCATGGATTTCCTGGTCAACAAAAGGCCCGTGGCATGGTGAGAGGGATCAAGCAGTACCAGGAAGCTCGCAACCCCATCCCCAAGGAGCGGGGTGTCTCTGATACACGGCCCCCGATACCACCAGCCTCATGTCACAGGCTTCGGATGGTCAGGATGTCTATAGGTGGACAGTTTGGCTCCTGTAGCCATAGGGTGTACACTACCAACCAAGTACCAAATTCACTTCTTAGGGTTGGCAAAGAGCCACAGGCCTGGTTCTTGAAGGTTCCAGGTAGTGAGGTATCTTTGAGGTAGCGCTGGACACTGTGGTCTTGAGACATGGGCAGAGGACATCTTGTCCAAGAAGAGGAGTTAGGGATTGCCAAGTGGTTGGACCCTGTTGGCTGAGGCGATGGGGGTCTGGCTATATAGGGAAGTAGTTCTCTTGCGGGTCCACTATGGGTACTGCTAGAGTTGGGGGTGGCTGAGTCTCTAAGTCCTAAGGGTCTGGCAGAGACCACAATATCCACCAAGTGAAGCCCACCTCCCCAGTCTCCTCTGTTGCATCTTTCTGCCTCCCTCTCTGTGCTCCAGCCCAGCTGGTCTCCATGCGGCTCCTGGATCAAATGCTCCAGACGAGTCCTGCCTCAGGACCTTGGCTGTTTCCTCCAGTGTCCCACAACTCCCTTCACTTCCCTGCCTCATGTCTCTGCTCAGGTGCCACCTTCTCAGGGAGCCCTGCCCTGAGCTGCTCGTATAAAGCAGCATCTCCAGTCTGGCCCATCTCCCTGCTTCCCTGGGAAACCATCCATGGCACTTGCTACTGCCCAACGTAGCATGTCAAGATTTAGTAACTGCCTCAGAAAGTCTACTCCATAGACTGCAGGCCTGTGAGCTATTTGGAGCCAAACTCAAAGCCTGGCTCTGTTCTTCCTGGGAACTTGATTCTATTCTCTGCTGTGTCCCCAGAGCCTAGACAGTGCCTGGCACACAATGTTGTTGTTGTTAAGTGCTGTTGAGTCACTTCCAACTGAGACTCTGTATAGGGTTTCCGAAGAGCCAATGATGAATTTGAACCACCGACCTTACGGTTCAAACCGACTTTATAGTTCAGCGCTTGTTCTACTCCACACGCCCCAACCCTCCAAGCTGCCCCGGTCCCAACTGCCTTTGCTCAGCATGGCCCAACAATAAATAGTTTGTTCAGTGAATAGATGGATGGATGCTGGCGAGAGGGTTCTGGCGTAGGAAGGAAGGGGGATGGAAGGGCTTCTACTTCCCTTCACAGAGAACGCAGCGGCCCTAGTCTATCTCTCCACCCCACCTCTGGGCCTGTGCACCCATTCCCCATGCGTCCAGGCCCAGCCTCACCGAGGCCCCGCCCCCAGGTCCGGCCCCCTCACCTTGTGCAGGTCTTGGGCCAGCGCGTCCTGTAGAAGCTGTTTGTTGTCCCGCAGGAAGCGGCCCAGGCCCTCGAGCTGTGCGGCTCGGAACTCGGCAGCTCGAGTCCGTCCAGACCGGAAGGTTTCCCGCAGCCGTCGCAGCGTGTCCGCGAAGGGGTCCATTCTGCCGAGTGGGGACAGTATTAGGCCTCCACCTGCCTGCATGCATAGAGATCACTTGGGGGCGGGGCCCGCGAGGTCCAGGGGTTGCCTGTGCTCCCCCACAGACATCACCATCACCACACACACATGGAAACTTGGACACACAATGACAGACCCCTTGACCAGTGGGCAGAAGGGCCCTGCGGGAGTGGGTGTGGGCTTGGGTTACACTCACTGAGGCTGGCTTGTAGACGTGAACCCAAGCCATGGGCTAGCAAGTACCCCAAAGACACCCCCATGTCCTTCTTGGAGTTGGGTGGCTGTCAGACCTGAGCCCTAAGTAAACAGGGGGCATCTGACCAGCAGAGGGAAAGGAAGAGGATGATGCCACCAACCACCACCGCAGCCATCACCTTGGAACTTTCCAGATCAGAATGGCTAAGAGAGTTTTGCAGCTGCCTCCCCTGGTGGTTCAGATGTCCCAGCAGGCAGGGACAGGATCACTTGCCTCCCAGCGACAGTGCAGGGGCGGGGAAGTCAAGCCTCCAAGCTGTCAGGAGCCAGGCCTGGCAGAGGGCAGGGGCCACGACGGTCCCTAGGGCCCCTATGTTTACCTGAAGAATCCCGAGAAGCGCTCTGACGCACTTGCTCCCCAGCCTGGTGTCAAGGGCTTTCAGGCCTTTCTCCTCCCCTTCTGGCCCTCTTCCCTTTGGGTCTCAACTTGGTTGTTGCCTCCTCCAGGATGCCCACCCTGATTACCTTCCCCCTACATAGATACATACACACACCCATACACATGTACTCACATAGTGGGATAAATGTCTGGTTACCTCTGTCTGCCTCCCCTCACCCCTCCACTGCCCTTCCACTCTACTGGGTGGTCGCCCCACTTTGCCAACTTGGCTCCACCCCACTTTCCTCATTGGTAGTGGGTAGTTTGTCAACGATGAGACCACATCTGCCACTCTGAGCCTAGTGCTCAGTATCAAGGTGCCCAAAGCTGCCAGCTACCCTTAAGTCTCCTTACTCTCTGGGGCCTCAGTTTTCCCAGGGGCTGGGGCAGAGCTTACCCAACATCGTGGCTTTAGAGAGAGCAGAGGGGGCTACATTCTCAGAACTCCTAGAGAAAGAGGGGCTAGTTTCTCTGGAATCTCCATCCTAAGCTCATCTCCTGCCTCTGCCTCTTACCAGCTGTGTGACCCTGGACAAGTGGCTCACCCTCTGTGTCTCAGTTTCCTTGCCTGTTACATGGGGATGTTAATAACACCTGCTGTGGTTGTGAGGATTCAATGATGCCTCAGGAAGCATGTGGCATTGAGCCTGGTATACAGTAAGTGCTCAATAATAAGGTCAGCTGGAGGCTGCAGTGGTTTAGTGGTAGACTTCTCGCCTTCCATGCTGGAGACCCAGGTTCAATTCCTGGCCACTGCACTGAATGTGTAGCCACCACCCATGCTGAACAGATTTCAGCGGAGTTTCCAGACTAGGAAGAAAAATCTCTTTCCCAGTATCACCCAGTGGAAACCCTGTGGATCACAGCAGTCTGATACAACGCTCAAGACCAGCCAATGTTTCGTTCTGTTGTGTATGACGTCACTCAAGAGTCAGGGGCTACACCATGGCAGCTAATAACAACAAAAGTCAGCTGTGTACTCACTAAATTCCAAGTACTGAACAAATATTTATTCCCCCTCCTTTCTGTATGCTGCTCTTATCCCCCCCTACACACACACACACACACACACACACACACACACACACAAACTTCTACAGATGGATCTGACCACAGACCACACCCACCCAGGACTCTAAACTTCACAAAAGTCTCCAAAGAAGCCACAAAAATGCAAGGCACATAACTCAACCCGTGGGCTTGGTGGTGGGCAGGGGAGCACTGCAGGGTGTGGGGGTTCTGGACTGAACATCTCATCAGTCCCTCCTTATTGCCTTGAGGCCAGACGGCCTCTGCCCCCAGGGCATCAGGACCCATATCTTCTGTGGACTGTGGATGGAGGTCCCAGGGGTTGCTTGTTTGGGGTGGGGAGAGCTGGGCTTGGCCCAGGCCAGCAGAGCAGCTAAGGCGGCCTTCTTTCGAGACCAGTGACCCTGGATCTTTGTTCTCACAAGGGAGTTGAGCAGCCTTTGCAGACCTCCAGATGGGGACTGGACCAGGGACCCACTAGGATCTGCCTGATGCTGTGTGAATTTGTGAGGATCTTGGTTGATGTTAATCAAATGCCCATGCTGTGCCCGTTCCCCTGCACCGATTCATTTAGCTGCACAACAACCAGTGAGGGGACAATTGCTGTCCCCACTGAAGGAGACAGAGAGGTCAGGGCTGCAGCTTCTTCCCAGGGAAAACCAGCTCCCACCACAGCACAGTCAGTCTTCCTTGGAGGGGGCAGCTAGAGCCCGTCTGGACGCATCACCCTGGTCTCCAAGATAAGGAGCCCTGGTAACAGTGTGTTAGGCACTGGGCTGTGAATCTAGAGGTTGGCGGTTCAAATCCACCAGCCACTTTGAGGAAGAGCGATACAGTAGTTTACTTCCCTAAGAGAACCCTGTGAGCAGTTTCCCATCCTACAGGGTTGCTATGAGTCAGAAACTATCTCTTATCATTCTGGTCACCCCCCAGGGGTCTCCAGAGTGCAGCCCCCACAGTGGACTGAGGTGGCCCAGCTTCAATCCCCTGTTCAGCTGTGTCTGCTTGGACCTGCGGCTTGTGGGTGAGGGTGGGTGGGGTGGGAGCAGCTAAACCATTTAACGGTAAAAGGAGAGTCTGGGGGTCGAGGAGGACCAGCCATTTCCCTTCCAACGTAATAATCAGGTAACTGATTAAAGGCTGTATGCCGATATGGGGTGCAGCATGGGTCCCAGCCCCCACCCCTATACGTAACCAAGGAAGCTGAGGTTAGGGAGCAATGTGTAACCAAGGAAGGGAGAACAGACTGGCGGTCAGGTCTACTGGCTCCAAAGCATCAGGTAAACTAACTGCCACCCAATCCCCTTCCTCCCCCAAGGCGGGACCTGCTGATGGGCGCTCCCACCTACTCACCAGAGGGAAAGGTCTACCCACTCGGCTGCTTGCTGCCTCAGTTTCCTTGTCTACACCTTCTAAGTGCATCCTCTCAGTATAGTGTGGTTTGGAGCACAGTCTCTGTACTAGCTCGGAGACCTTGGGCAGGTTGCTTGGCCTCTTTGTGACCCACTTTCTTGTTATTACAGTACTGTGGAGGAGGCTCTGACTCATAGAGACCCTACGTACGACAAAACAAAACGCCCCTCGATTCTGCCCCATAATCACATCCCTTGCTGTGTTTGAGTCCATGGTGGCACCCACTGTGGCAGCCCATTTCGTTGAGGGTCTTCCATTGACTCTCTACGTTATTAAGCCTGATGTCCTCCAGAGACTGACCCTTCCTGATCTCATGTTCAGAGTCTAAAGTCTAGGATCATTCTGGCTGCACTTCTAAGACAGATTCGTTCATTCTTCTGCTGGTTGTTAATTACAGTGGAGTCATTTCCGACTCATAGTGACCCTGACCCTGCACAGCATTTCCGGAGGCTGTACAGTTTTACAGGAGCAGAAAGCCTCATCTTTCTCCCGCAGAATGGCTGGTAGTTTCGAACTGCCAACCCTGAGGTTAGCAGACAGATTCGTAACCACTACACTACCAGAGCTCCTGTTCTTCTGGGAGTCCACGGTATATTTAATATTCTTTGCCAGCACCATCATTCAAAGCCATCATTTCTTCTTTGCTTTTCCTTATTCATAGTTTTTGCATCCCTTTGAGACAACTTTTGCATCCCTTTGAGACAACAGAGAATACCATGATTTGGGTCTGGTGCATCTTTTGCTTCTGAATTCTTTAGAGGTCTTTTGCCCAATGGTGGTGATGGTGGTGGTGTTGGTGTGCCGTGGAGTCGGTTCTGACTCATAGTAACCCTGAACAGGGTTTCTGAGGCTGTAGATCCTCACAGGAGCAGAAAACCTCCTCTTTAATACAATGCATAGTTTTTCTGGACTGTCATTTTCATGGGCGTTGATTATGGATTCAAGTAAATTAAGTCTGAGGCAACATCAGTCTTTTCTCTGTCGATCATAATGTTGCTTATTCGTTCAGTTGTAAGGGATTTTTGGTTTCTTTATATGGAGAACGTTAGTCATATTGAAGTCTGTTAGTCTTTGATCTTTAGCAGTAAGTGCTTCAAGTCCTTGCTTCGGCAAGCAAGGTTGTTAATGTTCCTTCAATCCTGATGCCATGTTCTTCTTCATAGAATCCAGTTTATTAGATTATTTGTTCAGCGTACAGATTGAAGAAGTATGGTGAAGGATACAACTCTGACAGCCACCTTTTCTGATTTTATCCCCTTGTTGTATTTGAATGAGTGCCTCTTGGTCTATGTACAGCTTCCACATGAATACAATTAGATGTTCTGGAAAACCCATTCTTCCCAGTGTTAGCCTTAGTTCCTTATGACCCACACAGTCAAATGCCTCTGCATAGTCAACAAAGCACAAGTAAACAAACATCTTTTTGGCATTCTCTGCTTACATCCAAGATCCATTTGACATCAGCAATGATGTCCCTCATTCTGTGACCTCTTCGGATTCATTTTGCCCATCTGTCAAATTAGATGACACCTGCAGCTGCAGAGCCCTGGTAGCACAGTGATTAAGTGCTCAGCTGCTATCCAAAAGACCAGCAGTTCGAACCCACTAGCTGCTTCATGAGAGAAAGACAAGACGGTCTCTTTCAGTAAAGATTTACAGCCTTGGAAACTCCACAGAGCAGCTCTACTCTGTCTTAGAGTGTTGCTATGAGTCAGAACTGACTAACAACAACAACCAACTTCCCCATGGTACTGTTGGCAGAATTCCAGCATAAAGCTACCTAAAGTGTTGGGCACAGGGCCTGAGGCAGCGATAGTGCTCAGGATTGAAGTCTCTAAAGGTGGGAGTCCAGGTGGGGAAAGCTGGGAGCCAGCCTAGGAGCCAGGAGAGGTGAGCCCCCTGAGAC